TAAGCATGTTATTTTTAGTTTTCATTCCTGCCTATATATATATATGATGCTAAAATATTTTATCCTATTAAAAATTTAAGTTTGGGGGGGGGAATGAAAAATTTTCTAAAACTTGAAGTTTCTTTGTTCTCAAATGTACAACAAATAAATTTGATTTTGATTTGAACAAAAAATGATTATATATATGAAGTTATATTAAGGAAGTAAAATTTTGAATATAGAAATAAGTAAGAATTTTGTTGAAACCTATAGTAATGAAGAAAAATTTAAAGTTGAAAATTTCTTAGTGTGGAAATGTTAAATATTTTGTAACTATCTTTAGTAGGAGAAATTGTATTTTTGAAAAATTTAGAATGCTTAGACTTTATTTTCAATACTTAAATTTCTTTTTTTTTAAATAATTTTCAAATCTATTATTATGTTTTAAAATAAAATATTTATATCAGAGCTTTGCTTTAGAAAAAGGAGGAGTGGAATTCAAAATCATTAAAGACCTATCCAGATATAGTAATCCTCACGTAAACGTAAAAAAAGGGGGGAGGGGGGCAAAGCTTGAGGATTAGCGTCTAATAAAAAATAAGTTTCACAAATAATCATTTTAAAGTATAAAACTTGAGAAACTCTTAAGCTTAATAATATAGTATAGTAAGTATAATTATTCTTAATAATAATTTTTAAGTGGAGAAGATAGAATGCCTAAACTCTATATTAAGAAAATCTAAAAATATTTTGTATTTCTGAATTGGATAGGAACTCATATTTTCAGACTTCTTTACATTTAAGGATTTTTAAACTTTAAGTTGGTCTTATTAACTAGAATTTATCTAAATTAGACTACTATCTTTATAAAACAAAATTTTAGAACCTCCTAAAGAAACTCATATACATAATCATACTTATTTGGTTTTTAAAGATTCAAGTGTCACTTGAGGACAATTAACATTTTAAGTTTGGGGGATTTTGAAACTCCTAAAATATATAGTATGTTTATACACATTTTTATACCTATTTTTGAGATATTGGAGGATATTGCGTTTTAATGGAAGGTATTTGTGTGTTTTTCTTTTAGGTACAATCAAATGGATGAAAAATGGTGAAAGGAGTGAAAAAAGATCAAATTTGGAGCAAAAATAAATATGTGCAAAAGAACTATGGCGCCTAAGAGCCCAGAACTAGCGCTTCGTACTTAAGCGCCAGAAGTAGTTATTTGGCAATTCAATGAATTTATATGAATTTTTGAAAAGGAGTTTGAAGCAAACCTTAGTGAAAATGTGGTAAGTAGTTAATCGACACAAAAATACATTTAATTGGCTTTTGAAAGGAGGCAAATCTTGAAAGATTCATTGAATGTGGACAAATTTTGAAGAGACACCAAGACAATTTTGAAGAGACTTTTGAAGAGACACCAAGACACCTTTTGAAAAATTATAAAAGAAGACTTGGATTGAAGAACTAATAAAATCTATCACCAGCCCCCCTTCCAGTTGCCCACATACGCCGCCAACGCCCATAGCCACACATGTCGCCACCACTTTTCTTTTTCTTTTGAGTTGTGGTTTGTATTGTAAGTGAAGGAAGAGATTCAAAAGAATTTCAAGATTTTGGTGAAGAGGATTTAAGATAAGTTTTTATATTTGTGTTTACATTTGGTTTTAATTTAGAATTCTTGTTTGTTT